AACATCAGCAGGACACAAACTTTCTATTAAATTAGTGAATGAAATTACAAGATCACTGGTTGTTTAAAAGGAATTTCCAATTGAAATGTTTACTTCACTTAATTCTACATTCAAAACTTCAGTTTCATTATTTTAAGAATTTGGTGTTTAACTTTTAGAAAGTGAATCCAATTTTAGAAGTTTTTTCAGTTCTTTCTTCTTTTCTTCTCTCTTCTTTCGTTTTGAGGATCGACTTTCATAAGATCTCTTCATTTTAATATTGTTCTTGGCGATAAGATTTCCAATAGTCTCTATCTTTATATGGTTAATGCAACCTGTCAAAATTGGAATAGTCATTTCCTCTTTAAAAAATTGATCCACCCGGCTGATACCTACTGTTACTAGAAACAAAAAAACAAAAAAAGTTCGATACATTTGCAAAGAGGCCAAAAAAGACAATGAATTCGATTGCTGAGAATAATCGTTAAAGATAATTCCCATCCAGTCAAGCAACGCGTTGTATGCCTAGTTTTTGGTCTCTGAAAACATGGTTTGAAAGGTTTTAAAATCAAATATAAGATAACTAAATAAAAATTTGAAATCTATAAAATTTGTCTTTTTGACATTTATTAATACATTTTTGAGATTTATTATTATAATTTTCATTTCAATATTTTCATATTTAAAAAATAATAGTAATACATAAATCTAATATAACAAACTCAAAAAAAAACTTCCCATTGATTTTCAATACAATTTTTTGTATTTGCTTTGGTAATGTTATATTAGTGCTTCATTTTTTGCATCAGGTAGATTACTGTTTGTAGTCTTTTTTTTAAATAGTCGAAAATCTTATTCGAGTTTTATTAGTACTTTATTAATTGCAACTAAAAGTTTTAATGTTATTTTTTACGCTGAGTTCGTTTATTTATTTATTTATTTTTTAATCAGTGACAATGGCAAAGCGTTGCAAACCGTTATAGTTCATACCTCCACGAATACTTTGTAATAATGATCTATAATTGGAGGGCATTGAATTTGAATTAAACTTTTGGTTGAGTTGAGCTTGCTAGGATATGCAAAAACGCTCATATAACATAACAGTCTATTATCAAAATCAATTATGACTGTACTTAAAACAACAGTATCTAAAACGGCATATATTTGTAATATCGCTCTTAATGTTTTTTAAATTTTAAAAATTCCATAATTTGACAACGGTATCCTTAGCGTCTTTCATTTTTATTCATGCATTTTTTATTTTTATTTATAAATTAAAAATACTCGTTTTCTAACACTTGATAGGGTCATTTTTAAACCACTTTTATAACTGTTTTTCGTTCATAACAAGTTGAGCTAAACATTTCATATGTTCTATTAATTTCAAAGAGCTAATTCTAGCAAAATCGCTCAATAAACTGTTTTTAACTCGCAAGCGTTTAAACTGATCCCACCAACGATAACAAATATAATAGAGTCAGGAAGTAAAAAGTAAATAATATTGAAATACGTAATAAACAACTTGAAGGCGCTGATCATTATAAAGTCGTATGACGTTATGTTTAAGGCTTCTTTTTTTTCTATAGATAAAGTTTGATAATTGTAATAATAAAGTTTGTGTTGACTTATTTTATCGAAAGGATAACGACAAATTTAATTGAGCGAATTTTCGTCCCATATTTCTATTATTTCTTGTTTGCTCAAATTTGAGTTTTTATAACGCAGTAAACATTTTCCAAACGTATAACAAACGAAAGTGTCTGCTAATACAATTAAATCGTAAACTCACAGTTCCATTTTTTTCTTTTCATCATTTTTATCTAGAGAATCAAGTGTTTTCCACAAAAGTTCGCAATGTGTTTTATGTAACAAAGAAACAGATTGAAGAATAAAGTGTGGGAGTAATTTTACCCGCTGCGTTTTAAATTGTCCTCGTTTGTCTAGACCAAAACACTCTGTGGCTGTACTTTCATTTAAACAGTTGATCATTACCCTATGACAAAAATAAGATAAAAGAGATAAAGATTTGACTTGTTTAGTAAAAACAGATAAAAGAGATAAAGGTTTGATAAAGATAAAAGAGATAAAGATTAAAAGATAAAGGTAAAAGAGATAAAGGTTTTACTTGTTTAGTAAAAACACCATTGGATGGATTAATGCTCGTTCCACAATCATAGGTAATAAAAAAAGGAAACAAATATCGACTTGCATTCATAAATTTTTTTTGAGGTTCATAAATATGACGAGTGTTTGAATATAAAAAATGATTAGTTTTGTAATAACCTTTCCATTGATGTTGTTGAGTTACTTTTATCAAAATAATGAGATAATTGGCTATATAAAGCAAACTTTTGACCACAATCAGAACAATCAGATAATTGGCAATAGTTGTTGTAAAGCGCTGCATGAAGTTCGTTCAACATATTAACAGTGTAATAACTATTACTTTTTTGAAAATACAAATTTTTATGGTTTTTACTGCTCTTCTTTTTTCGTTTGCAAACTTTCTTTCTTCTTCATTTAAGAATTTGTAAAGTGGATTTTGTTCGTCTTTGGTAATATTTCTACTCTCATAAACAACTTTGAGCAATTCATAAATGGTGCTTTTGTACTGAAATTTCGTTTTAGGATGTAATATTCGTACTTTTTAATTCTTTTGTTCAACGTAAAAATTTAATCATTAATTCGATCAAATGTACTTTCATTAGCAAAATGTTGATATACTCTTAATAAATCTTCAAATGCCATGTTTTTGCTTTTTCCTCTTCAATTTTTTTACTTTATTTTCCATTGTTTTTCAACACTGGATTTTCAAAATGAAGTTGCATAATATTTTCTTCCAATTGCAAGTTCTATGCGTTTTTTTTAAACACAGTTTTGTTCCAAACTTAATTAGTATGAGCATACCAATGACGTATCAGTAAAGAAATAAGAACAGTAACCAGGATAAAAACAATTACCACGTTCAAATAAAATGCTATAATCTAAAAACATTTTACGTTTTTGATCGTATATTAATACTCTTCGTAAATTAAATCTTTTTTTTATTGTGTTAATTCAAAGCGACACAGTCCATGATACACTTTTTTTTTTTTTTTTTTTTTTTTTTTTTTTTTTTTTGCATTTTTGAGTTTTTCAAGCATTTAATATTTTTCTTCTGGTATTTTTGTTTTTTTTTTTAATCAAACGAGCTTTTTCTTGCTTTTATTTCTGCCCTTTTTCTACTTCTAGTGTTTTTTTTTATTATTATTTTTTCTTCTGCATCTTATATTTTAATAGCGCGCTTTTTCTCTTTTTGAAAAACGTTGTTCTGGTGCTAAATCAGATCTTCGTTTGTAACCACTCAGTTTATAAGCTCTTAATTTCATCATTAAGTTTTCAGTTAAATTGCTTAGAATTTTTATTTTAAAATTGCATTAACGAATAATACGCCAACCGCTATCGTTTTCTAAAATATTCATTGCTGCCTAAAAGTTATTCTTTTTTAAATACTGTAAATAAACAGGTCCTTCTTATGGTTTAATATGATACACTGAATAACTAAAACGACGTTTTACTATCTTACAATAACCATCTTCTACGTATTTGACACAGTGTTTTAAAATTGAATACAATAAAAAAAGTTTTAAACAAATCTTGAAAAGAATGTCATTAAATTTTTTTTATTAAATCTCTACCATCATAGATGTCGTTTGTAGAATGTATTTGCTTATTAATGTCTTTAAACATTAATAAGGTGACCTTTATAATGATACAAATTGCTCCTTCTAACATTGTGTGCAATACCTGTTCGCTTTCTCTATGCTATCTATCTAATTCAACTATTTCTGTCTTACACTCTGTTATATCTTCGTTCTTCTAAAACTCACCTTACTCTTATTCCGAAGAGCGGGTTATGACGCTGCTTTAGGATCTGCACTTATCTTTGCGGGCCTTGCGGTAATGTGGTCTATTTATGACAATTAGCCGTAGGATAAACCACAATACAAGTTTATTTCAAGTCTTTGTCGGATTACATTAGTTAGGGTTAGGGTTATATTTAAGTTTTTGTCGGCGTACATAATATAGGGTTAGGGACCGAATTTAACAGTACGTATTACACCTTTTAACATCGTGTGTAATTCATGTCTGCTATCTTTATGCTATTTTTTTAACACGACTATAGTCTTTCACTCTAGTACACCTTCGTTCTTCTTAAACTTACTTTACTCTTGGTTCGTAGAGCATATGACGTTGAGGGTATGACTTTCCTTAATGAGCTGAACTTGTCTCTACGGTTTTTGGAAAGGCAACCTCCGCATTGTAAATAGCTGGAGATGGATAAACTATAGTACCAGAATTCATATCAAGCGAATGAAAAGATTATAAAAAATGCATAGTATATTAAAATCTTTTTTAAACAAATTTTAAAAAACTATTTTGTTCTTATAAAAATGATTTAAATAATTTGCAATTTTTGGTGGATCGTCGTTTTTAATAAAGAGGAAGAACAATGAGGTTCCTTTTTTAACTTTTACAGTTTTCAGTATTTATATTCTTTTCGTCAATATGAATTTTGCGAGTCGTTGTGTTTTGCATTGTCAATTTGTCTCCGTGATTTAAATACATATTTTCTTTTTTACACGCTCTGGACTAAGAAACATAATACGACAACTGGATTAAAACAAGTGTATTAAAATTGAGAACTACTTTTTTAAAAATCATGCCTTCAGGGCTCAGCGCTTTATTAACAGTTAGCACACATGCCGATTGTAATAGTAAACCTGCTCGCGAAGCAATAACTATATAAGAAGCATCTAAAGTTTCCTTTTTCATAATTTCAATTTTTTTTTTCTGTATTATATACGTGTTACTTTACTCAAACTTTCTTGGCATAAACAAGCATATAATTTAACTTTAACAACATGAGGGATTTGAAAGTTCAAAGTCACTTTAGGATCTTTTATTTCATCAACGGATGAAATAAAACCATTGATCTTTAGTTTTGATTAAATCCATTTTGTTTTCATGGTCGACTTCCATTCTTTTAAAAAACAAACGAGCATAATTATTATCCAAATCTTTATCGTCTGTACAATGAGAAAAAATAGTCAACAGACATTTGAGAAACCAATATAGATAAGCAATATAGATAAATATTTGCTTCTATTTATCTATATTACTTTCCGATTTTTGATTGAACTGTATATTCAACTAAAATGATCTAGGTCTTAAGTATTACCTTTCAATTATATTTGCAATGTTGGTATCTTTTAGTTTAATTTCAATTGCATCAAAAGCTTTCATGGTGTCCATTGGAAATATCACCCCATCTGGTAACCGTGAAGCCTGCACAACTAAATTGCTTCGAGTAAGCATATCGTTTAGCATACTGGTGTGGATAGCCTGAGTTTGCTGAATATCCATACACACTTTCAGCAACTGTACTACTAACCCATGCATTATTTGATCTTGGTAAAGTGTAAAAAATAATTTACATTATCATATATATATATATAGTCATTAATTTATTAAAAAAAAATAATAATAATCAACAATCACTTACTAGATATATTACTGCACGATAACGCATTCCCAATGTTTTGTACTGTTACAACATCTAAATAGTGTTGACTATACTATAATACCATAAATCATAATTACATAAATTTAATTTTCTAACAGCTGATTCAGCTTGAGATCAAATACGTTTTAAAATATGCAAGGTACGGATAGTTTTAAACTATGTAACTTACCAATATTTGGAACTGGTGGTGTCGTTGATACCGTCCTTGACAAATAATCTGTTGCCATGTCTGTCAAGAGAGGGCAATGGGTTAGCGTCATCAATGTCAAGAGATGAAAGTGTTGCTATGTCAAGAGATGAAAGTGGTGTTTCAGATTATATTTGCATTATTGTTGAAGTTGATATCAATGTTGGTGAACTTGACGGTGAAACAGACAACGGCATAGAAAATAAAGGGGGAGGAATTTGAGTTATGGCACTTAGTCCCAGCAAATTTTTTTTTCTCAAGAGGAAAATAATCTCTGTCATTTTCAAATTCAATTTCAGAATCAAAATGTGATGAAATTTTTCTAGTTGCAATTCTAAACAATAAATGTAACTATCAAATGTTTTTTATAGTAGTTTGTAAACGTTTTAAATTATAAAGTTAAACACTAATATGCTCAACACTAATGCAATAGGTGAGCGGACAGTACTTCTATTTATACCTTTTTCGCCTAATAGGGACATCTTTTTCTTCAGCCTCCTGGTAAATAAAATTTAAATCAGAAGTATCTTCTGCATATTGCAACTCTTCTCTCGCTCTTGTGTAAGTTGCTAAATAAGTTAAAACAATAATTAATACATATAAAGTAATATTTATTGGTCTGGTCATGACATTAACTAATCCAATATTAAGGCTTCAAAATAACTCTAAAACACACAAACTTTTATAAACAACATATGAAATAATCCTAAAACAATAGCATTGTCCCATACCAGCTTTTCCTAAGACACGAATTTGTGTGAATTATTGTGTGAACATTATACACCAGTTGATTATCACCATTTATTAAACGGAAGTTTTGAACAAAATTTATCAATAAATTTTCTGCATAATTACGATAGTGCTCCCTTGCAGCATATCTTGGGCATAACAAAATAATCATGGATATGGAAAGCGTCAAAAAATTTTGATACATGTGTTGTGGCAACACATTGTGAAGTACAACTACTCCAGAATATAACAAAAACTGTCTCAGCTCATTAGCTTTCCACTTTTTAAATTCAAATAAAGATCTTGGTCTCCTACAAAATTCCATAGGCTTTGCTTCTCTTAATGAACACAAATTTGCTGATATTTCTTGATATGTTAAATGACTGCCTTCATTCAAATTCACCCTTAATCCATAAATATATAATTCGGCGAAACACACCAAGGCAAACTAGGTGCATATAATCTAAAAGGAAACTAAAAACCATGGCAATATTCAGTTCAGTAAGCGGAAAATCTTCATCAAAAGAAAACCAGAAAATCTTCTGGTTTTGTTATGCCTGAAAAAAGTCCGATAATAAAAATATCACTCAAAGATACTATAATTATAGAACCTAAAATTGGCCATAGCTGCATATTTGAGCTACGAAAAACTGGTAGACCATCAAAATTAATATATAATTTTAGATTTACACAATCAGCAGGCAACTGTTTTGTTTGTAGGAGTGTTCTAATTGCATTTTCAACTTCAACATTTGTAAAAAACTAGATGGTGTTTTTAATAAAGTTCTTACATCTTTTGAAACATGAACGCTTACATTTTTAAATATTTTTAACAAAGCATTAACAGCCCTATGTGAAACATTGCATTCAATTATCCATTGCCGAAGTTCTTCTTGTATATTGTAGTCATCTCTGCTTAATGAACTTGAGATTGACTCATTATCAGAATCATTGCTAAATTCTGATAAGTCATTATAAACAAAATCATTATTTAAAGTTGAACAAGCTCCATATGACTGAATTTCTGTACATGCACTTTGTGAAAAATCAGTTTCCCATATATCATTGTCCCAATTTGAGGATACATGTGGATCATGTTGAGGTAGAATTTTAATTACATTGTTTACTATCACTTCTTCATTAATTAAATTTTCTTTACTTTGTAAATTAGTTAGCATTGTGCTAACAACTTTTGCTACTTCACAACGCTGCGTTCTTGAACATATTCCCATGTTTATAAAAAGAATTTTATAAAAGAGCACTTATGTTTATTAAAAGCATATTATATCATTAACATTATTACAACTTAAAAAAACAACATTCACAAAAGTTATTAACAATAAATAATGCCAAATCACAAAGTAAATTTATTATCATGATAAAATAAATTTATCTTAAATTAAATTAATTTATAAAGTAAATTTATCATAAATATAATCTGAATAAAACATGCACTTTCTTCAATGATTAATATTCTTACTATTGAGTGATTTTAACTATAAAACTGCATTGAGTCGTTACAATTCCCAGCAGTTGTTATGTTTTAAATAAAATACAACAAAATAAAAATAATCTAATATTATTATTAACATCATAACATCATAAATCCTAGTGAGTGATATGCCAAAATCCTTCAACGTACTAATATCAATGTTTAAGGCTCCTGTGAAAAATAACCAATGAAATATAAATATAAAACCTCATTGTTGTCTTTTGATATCAAAACCATATGGGAAATATAAAAGATTCATGTTAATTTTATACCTTTTAAATATAGAATAATAACGAATTGTTATTTATCTATTCTGTTTAACTGTATTAAAATTCAATAATTTGCATAAATAAAAAAATCTATTTTAAACTCTAAATACTTACTTATAAACATCTTGGAACACCTCAGTACCCTTTAAAACTTTTTTTGCCTGCACTTGCACATCATTTATTAGATTTAATCAGTGAAAACAAAATCAAACATTTATGATAATATGAAATTTGTATAAATTAAATCATCTATTATTTAACTTATATTTAATAAACAAACTTTATAAAAGCTTTGATAAATGAAAATTAAAAAATTATTTGTTACAAAAGCACTGATAGTTATTGACAGTCGTTGCCAAATAAAAAAGTGTTATTTAGTTTTACAGACAAATTATAAATTATTTCGATAGTAAAAAATAAGATTTATGCATATATTAAAAACAAAACACATGCAAATATTTTATATATAAAATGAAGAACGCAATAACACGTATAAGTAAAAAATACATAAATATATACTTAAATATATACTAAAAACTAAATTATTTAATATATATTTTATGATTTCTTATTTTCTTTTTATTACACCTCGCCTTCCTAAAAAATTGTTCATTTTGACTTCGTAAAGATAAATGCCGAATACACATTTTTAAGAAAGCGCTAAATTCATCCAAAGTAGTTTTTACGTCTTGGCGCGCTTCTTTGATTTTTCATCTCGTTTATTTAACGATATAGTACCCATATGGTTGAATTATAACTTTGTTTATTGTGTTTGCCCACATTGGTCCCATATGAAAACCAACTACCAAACACACATATGCCCGATGCGAGGCAACCCATAGTAGGCCCAATGTTGGCTTGTTTACGGGGTATTGTTTATAATATTATTTACAGCATGGCTTGAGAATATTACTGTTTTCTTTTTCAAAATCTAAATTAATTATTTCTTGTTTGCGTTTTGTTTATTAAAATGCTTTTTTAAAAAAGGTTCGCAATACTATTTTGACATCGTTTTTTATACTTGCATGTCATCATTTTTTACTTGTATATCATCATTTTTATACTTGTATATCAATATTTTGACATTATTTTTTATACTTGTAATTTTTATATTATTTACTTGTCTGTTTTTTGTAGCATCTGCTTGTTCACACTATTTAACAGTATTTTTTTATACAAGTATAAAAATGAACACAAAAAAAAATTTAAGAAGAAACCCAATATTTCTTTTTAAACTGGCTGATTATCTAACAGAGGATGATGTTAGAAAAATGAAATTTTATCTTAAATAAAAAATTTCAAATTATATCGGCTCAATGTTTTTTAATACTCTTTGTTTTATGTACAAATGTAAAATAAATTCCTCCTTGCCTTGAAAGATAAAAATAAATACAATTTGAAAAATAACAATTTAGTTCGGCAAACTTTTTATCAAACTAATTTTGGAAAAGCAATATTGCATTTTGCGGAGCTTCCTTTGGATTAGAATAATTTTAAAACATTTTCATTTTTCTCTGGAATGGAGAAACCTCTCATTTGAAAATAAACTTTGAAAAATTTTTTTTGTCTCAGGATAATATATTTTTATATTTATAAACGTCTAATAATTTCATGTATTATTTAATGTATTTATACTTTCAAGTTTTTATAGAGATATTCACCTACATTTGGTTATGATTTATGAGATTATAAATTAAAAGCGATTCTCAATGACGAGACCTGACGGTCTTCTGCAAGTATCCGCGTTCTTTTTATAAAACTAAATATCTGTATAACTATATTATCTTTTACTTAGTTCTTATTTTATGATTTTATTGTTTAAAGTTAACGATTTTATTGTACAACGATTTACTAAAATGTTTAAGAAAAAAATTATAAAATTTCCATAAGAATGGGTTGATGAAGAAAATCAATACACTGACTTTTTATTAAATACAACATTTTAAGAGAAATGAAATACTTTAAACCCTATACAAAAAAAATCGTTTTTAAGAAGTTTAAAGTTTTTTTATAAATCGAATATTTTTAATTATGATATTTAATAGTATCGTTGCAACTACTGATCTAGTTAAAGCTCATCTAATAAATATATATTTTGATTTGCATACTTTTTCAAAAAAAAAAACAGCAATACCACCATTCGAGCTTACATATGAAAACGCAAATTCACTATCAAACAATATTGATCAAAGCCCAAAAATTATCGAAACATACCTCTAAAATCTAAACTTATCTTAATCACCAGGCCCTGATCAATTATACCCACCCACACCCAATAATATTTACGAAAACTTGCTTTCAATTTTCTAAAATTCTATTTTATAAGTCCATTTGAGTGGATCAATACCCTAAATATGGAAAGACGCAACAATTACACCCATATTCAAAAAAAGAGGCAGATCAAATGCACTAAATTGAAAAACTATCAGTATAACTTGTACTTCAATAAAAATCTTTGAAAAAAATTATAAAAAATCGTATTGTGACACACCTCGTCAACAATAACTTATTAAATCCACACCAATAATGGTTTCGTCCATATCTTTCCTGCTTAACTAACCTTTAAACTGTATTTAGTTATTGAACATAATCATTTGATAATAATATTCCCATCATCAATATTTTTCTCGTTTTAAAAAAAAACCTCTGACAAAGTTCAACATAAATTTCTTATTTCTAAACTAATAGCTTATGGAAAAAATGGATTAATACTATATTGGATTAATAACTTTTTGAAAACCCGTAGACGAAGAGTTGTTGGTAATGGTAACTACTCAAACTGGGTACCTGTCCTTTCAGCGTTACTTTTTATTATATATGTCAACCATATCCCAAAAAT